AGAGTACAAAAATAAACTTTTAAAATAGTGCAGATTAAATAATGCTGATCAGAAAATTTAGAAAACAAAATTAACTTTTTTGTTGTATCTGTTTCACAAAAACTATGATGTCTAGAGTGGTGTACATATTGCTTCTTTTGGGTCACATAAGTATCGCATCAATGGTCTACACAGGTCTTCTTCACAAACTAGTCTAAAATGTAAAAAGTTGCTAAGGTGAAAAAGTTCGACAAAGTGTCAAAACAGTGACTCGCAAGTCATCGCTTGAGGTTTAGACCCTTCAAAATAACTGAAAGACTGACTGTACGTTAACTTTCTTGGTATCTTCTACACCAGCAAACGTCAAAAGAACGACTAACTTTTCTTAGACACCACATGTTGCCGATAACGTAGCTTCAGAGTTTGAACAGTTGCTTTACACATCTCTACGATATCACCTTTCTGCCGCCATGTTGACATGAGTTCCCCAGCCAATCACGTTCAATGATGTAAAAGCGCGCGGTAGCCAATCAGAATCGAGAATGAAAATCCTATGTACTAGACAAATAAGCTTACTTGTTTATTTGAAATTTTGCTGTGACGGGAATGACACATAATAAAGACGTTTTCGTGGAAATGGCGATGTCGCTTTAGTGAAACCCTGATACGCTATATTTTTTCAAAATCCACTACAAAGAAAGTTTTGGGGTACCGTATTTGTTAAAGAGGTACGAGCCGCACAAGACATACTTTCAGCAACTATGTAAAACCCATTCGTTGTTAAATGTGTAAAAATAAACTAAAACTGAAATATCATCGGAAGGAGCATATGGCAGTATTCAATATAATTCCTTTTTTTAATTAATCGATCTATGTTAGGTGTTGAATTGAGCTGTTGAATTTCTAGCAAAAACCTGTTATTAAAGATGCTACGATGTTCTGATGTTAATTCTTTCGCATTCAGATCACATGTATGTAAGTCTTTTAAAAAGATTTCTTTAAAGCAGTACTCCTCACCTAAATCACTATTTTGAATTTCACACAGAATCGTAACATTATCATGACTASTACACAGAAAGGAGACCGATATATTACAGCAATTTACCTTGCTTGCTCTGGGGCTTTGGAAGCTCAAATTTCACCCATTGATACTTGCTGCATTTCTTGGCTCCAGGAAGGTTTTGAATGAGATACTGAATAGTTGGATGTGAAAATCCAAAGAACTCTGGTCCTGAGCCTGTGTTAGATGCATCACGGCCCCTGCAATAATGGATAATAAATGAATAATCAATAAATAAAAAAATGATTGATAAACTAATAATATAGCATAACTTTTTGAGAACACATTTTTTCATTTATGCATTTATACAATTTAACTTAGTTGATCATCTATCATCTAACTATCTTTCCAAGTAATAAAAAAAATCATCTGAGGGATGAATGTATTGAACTTTAACACTTAGTAATACAATCTTTGTTACTTTTCAATGGTCTGAATTTGTTTTTGTGCCACCAAACTAATCSGTCTAAGCCCTAACCCTACAAATACTATTCATTCTATACCCTATCACTATACTAGTACCCTGACCCAGTCAAAATGTCAAAATTTGGAACCCAACCCCAGAGCAAAAAGCCAAAAAACAGGACATACCCATATAGYGTAAATATAGCCTGAAGGKTTACAAGCGGAGGGTTTTCAGAGCTATGGCTCTGAATAAATCATGGAAATAAAGTAACTATACCTAGCCTTGTTGAGAGTTTTCAATACAACACAGTGACAAGCAGTAGCAGATGATGCATTGATAGGATGGTCTGGATCATCTTCAGGACACATTTCAAACTATTTAAACATCACATCAGTTAATACTGTTAATGTAGTGGAAAGTATTGTAATAATATAGCGAGTAGTGAAATACCTGAGGTCCAAATCCACCATCAAGGATTTTACATGTATAAATACACTTTTTTTCTGGGTCTTTTATACTTGGATATGTCCGAGAGCTGCAGTAGCCTACAGGCCAGATATATCTCTCTGAATGAAAACCTGGTCTGTCTGAAACAATCTGTTGACAACATGACATACACATTATCTGTTTCACTAGATCTCAGTCCATAGATTAGCCTACAAAGTGAGTATGCCCAATGGAAGCTTGACRAAAGCTTGATAACCAAAAAGTTGATTTATAAACATTGAACTCTTATGCCAATAACACTAAAGCAACATAGCCCTTTTTGTGGTTAGAAAACAAGTTGCATAAGGTTTAGCACCAAAGCAAGGCAGAAATGGGCAGCAACCCAAAAATTATCGCTTTTGAGCTTGTTTATTTTTTGCAATGTCAAGAAATTATCTTTTGTTGGAGGTAATAATTTTGACATGGCTTTGTAATCAAGATTGCGTTCATTTTAGGGCTGAAGCAAACATGTAGTTTTTACAGGGTTCGTGCAAAATTTTCACTACAAAATTCCAGGACTTTTTAAGCACAAAAATGCGATTTTCAAGGACTATTTTTGAAGATTTTTTGATGTTTTCGAATGTTTCCAGTGGCGATTTAAAAAATAGCTACATTTCAAASCCAAKTGCAAAAGGCAATATGTTAGTTTCATCAGATTCAAGGAGTTTTAAAGGAGTTWTAGCGACGAACCCTGTTTTTAAGGACAAAATATGTCTATTGCACATTGGCTATTGCCTTGCAACCTGTCCTTGAGGCCCATTGCTACATATGTATATTGCAAGATAACTAAATATCTAAATATACCAACCTCTCCAAGACTATGTACTGTCAAGCCACCTAGTACTATTGGAAATATTGGTTTACCTGTACCACATATCATAACAACATTAATATTAAAGCCACATRCACTTAGGGCATTTTCATAAGGCAGACCTGTCTGGCCAAATCCATCTATTTAGAAGTAAATAATGTCTTTCTTTTCCATGAAATAGCWGATACAATTTAGAACTTCCATATTGTAACTGAACACAAATGATTAATAATGGCATTTTCCCTGGATCTGGCCAGTCAGTTCTGATAAATTGAAAGCACCCTTAATTGGATCAYTRTTGACATGTTCAAAATCATAAAACATAGAACCTGAGCCTGAACGACAATCATGGAATAATAACACTTCATTCTTCATTGAAGTTATTTCATCYACAATATTGGTTGAACTAACTAATAGATCATACCTACTGATGGAATTTCCAATGCACCCTTGTTGATGATTTTGGTAYAGCAATGATTGACTACTTGATAAGTGATTTGCACTAAGGCATCACATTACAACCAAAATTCCGGTTGGTAGTAAAATGATGTCATAATGCATATTGTCTATTCAATGTACTCTACATAATATCAAGTGGTTTTATAATAATAACCAGACTAAAATACACACTTTTTATATAAATGTACAGAATCAAACAGTTTTTTCAGGTAAGAATAAAGAATTCAATTGATGGTTTGAAGTGCAAAGGTTTTAGACAAGACAGATACCAAGACRGATTACCTAACCTAGCTACAGTACCTTTAYTATCAACAGGGATYGGCTGAACTTTTCTCTTTATTGCAGTTCCTGGTTTCTTACGTTTTGGTTTCACTAATTCCAAACCTGAAACAAAAGAAGCAAGTATTAGTCTTGAAGATGAAACAACACAGCAAATGATGCAAAAGAAAATTATTGAAGAAAGCACCTTCATTCTTGGCTGATACYGTAGTAGTGCCTGAAGCCTGAGAGCTTTCAGTTGRTTTTGGTTTCTTTGCTTTAGGCCTTGATGTTTTACTCTTTTCAGTTTTTTTTTCTTTATTAGCTGGTTGTTGAGAAGCTGTACAAAAGCATTGTAATAAGACTGTGTCATTTGGGATTGATGACAAGTCACAGGGCTATAATAACCTGGGCTGATATACTCTTTAAGTCACGAAGACTTGATGAATCATGATGTAGGGTTCATGCTAATCTTACCATCAGTTGCTTGCGATTGTGTTTTTGATTGTTGTACATCATCTGTAAAATGCTCTTTTTCTTGCAGTTTACTTTGAGCTGGTGATTTTGTTGGTGTTTTGGCTGGTGTTCTCTGATACTGTAGCTTGGCCATATTTTTTGCTTGAGCTGTTAATTTGGCCTGAGTGAGCTTTTTATGTAATGCACTTTTTGTTTTCGACATATTTCCTTTCTCTTCTTTTGTYTTTAAAACCTTTTTCTTGACTTTGGTTTTATTGTTCTTTGGGATAGCTGCAGGCAACTCAGTTGGTGTTACAGCAGTGGGTTCATAAGTCATCAATCCAAGAGGCTGTAGGACACCTGCCTCTGTTGCAGCTTGATATTGAAAAAGCCTCTTTAATAAAAACCTAAAAAAGAATTTATTTATTGCTGCAAATAGTCTTCAAGGTTCCCTGTGCCATCTTGTGCCTCTGCACTGCACACTAAATGGTATTCTCACTTTGATGCAAAGGCACAGCAACCTTTCATCTTTCAAGATGGTGCAGGGAAYTGTGAATGAGACTATTGCAATAAAAGTAAGTTCATGGTAGTGATGATCTTCTTTTGACTTAACCTACTTCCTTTCTGCTTTTGCCTTGGTTAATTTAGCTTCAGTCCTCATAATATCATCACCAGTTGCAGCATTCAGCTAAGAAAACAAATAAAAAAACATATCTAAATAAATTTTGAACAAACACTTTAATTTGAAGAGCTTCAAAATACAAACAAGATCACAAGACCTGAAAGAGAATGAGTCCTGCACTGTATATCAAATTGGGACCACAGCAGTGAAAGACCAACACTCTAACTACTTGATCTTCCTTTCTCCCATTCATTATATAATTATGCTCCCTTACTTTTGATTCACAACAGTCTCACTTACAAACACAAGTTCTTTTACAATTTTCCTTAAGGCATAGTATTTTTTCTTGTAGTCATAATGATGCATTCCTCTCTTTGACTTTATATTTGGAGATGAGTTCACAGTGTCCATGGGCTGAAACAATAGAAATGAATGTTAACATTCTAATCAAAACTGMATAAAGGATGTAAGCCTTATGACAGAACTGTAGTAAATTCATAGGAAAAAACATAATACATATGGCATGTACAATGCAATAAATCATTTTTGTTAGCAACCTCTGATTGATCTTCATCTGAAGAGCTTTTGATTGATTCCATATCATCAACGTCAAACCCCTGACATGAAAAAAATATACCATAATAATTGACAGTATAGTGGTGTCCATTGACTGCATGTTGACTGCAGAATAGAGGTTGAATAGATGACATATAGAGAGGGACTWATCATGGTGGCCACCTTATAGAGAGCAAATGCTTATAAGTGACCACTTAAGGCACATTTACACCTTATGATTTTTGCAGCATGATAAGCTCCACTTAAGGGGATTGAGGAGGGCCGGCCGAGCAGGGAGTGGGGAGGAAAAATAGGAAGGGCCTGCAAGAGAACCCCACGGTTTTACAAAATCTACAGTGGGATATGAAAGTAACTTCCCCATTGGTTGAGAGGAACAAGCTGTCAATCAAATGTCAAAGTGATAGATACCAGATCAATTTGGCCTATTTACCAACATGGCGGGTGGTGAAGAAGGATTTTGTAATCAGTTAGAGCTTTTTTAAGTGATTTAAAAGAAAACGGTTTCGATATAAAAATCAAGGAAGAACAGCGACAAGCTTTGGCCTGGACTTTGGCCTGGACTTTGGCCTTGACTTTGGCCTTGACTTTGGCCTGGACTTTTTCCTGTTAGTGTTAAGAATTTTTGTTTAGAAGAACCTTTAATAGTATTGAGAAACTGTGGCACTTCTTTTGCCAGAACTTTGTAGAATTTACAAAATATATTTGCCTTTCTAGGGAAACAGATGTTATCTTAAACGATCGGTAAATATAGTAAATAAACTTAAACTCCTGACCTCATGACCTCATACTGACAGCGCTTTGTGTTTATTTTGACAACTGTCAAGTTAGATTTTCCAGGCTTTTGAATTATTAATTAGGGGCGTCCTCCCTTCCTTTTTCTCCTCCCCATTCTCCACTCAGCCCTCCCCAATCCTTTAAGGGCAGCTACACAGGCTACTATTGTGCAACTAAAATCGTATGTGGAAACAGCCCTGCCATTGTTCCAACGATGGAAAAAATCACTGCAACGTTGCAATATGTTTTCAAGCATGTTTGAAACTCAGGCAATGATCATGTGACTCTTGCCATGAGAATCACTCTCAAAAAAATCGCAAGTGTAAAACAGGCCTTGAGAGTTAACACGACTATACAAGTTAGAAGTTCAAATGATATTTTAAGTACATTTTGCAATATTAAATACATTCTCTTTATGACTTAATATATATGTTGTAGTTCAGGTTCAATATATTTTTGAACCAGTTTAATCTACTTTGTTCCAGTACAAGACTTCTTGTACTGGTCCTTTTTTGCTTTGCCATTCTTAAAAGAACTAAAAGAACTATACCCTATCTGCATTCTCTCCCATTTTCTATCTATCATCTTATTTTCTACCTTCTACTATTTCCTACATTATCTTACCCTACCCCACAGACATATTGATATTTTTATATTTTATAATTTATGAATAACACTTACCTTCATCAGGGTTTGAACCACTGAACTCTTGCTTGATAGTCCATGGTACTACCAATTATACCATTAAGGATTTTGTTGGTAGTAATGTTTGAAAATAGTTTTTATCTTAATTATAATTTATTAATGAAGATAATTATCATGTAATGCTGACTCAACCCTATTCCCAACCCTAAACCTAACCCTAAACCTAACCCTAAACTGATTTGTACTGGATTGAGTTATATTGGACTGGTTCAAAATAAACTGAACCAGTTCAGAAGAAATTGAACTGGTTCAAAATCATATTGAACCTGAACTACAACATATAATATAATAAATAACATTACAGCAAAATATCTCAGTTCCAAAACATATCAACATAAAACACTCTGATAATTGGCACATTGAACGTTAATTCACACAATTGCATTTTACAATGTAAAAATGATTGTGTAAAAGAACCGATGCCAGCAAACAGAAAAAGATTCTGTGAGACTTACCACAAGTGCAAACCAACCAAGGCGACCTTCRATTCTTTTGAACTTGGAATTATCATTGAAGGTCTTCAACAAAATATTTAGAGAAAATTCAACAAAATGACATGGAGTGTGTAATATAGTTGTTAACACAAAACATTTAAAGTAAATGCTTAAAAGTACAAAATTTTGGGCCTTAGGAAATAAAATCTTAGTCGCCAATCAGAAAAAAGGATTAAGGAAATTGTATTCTGTTGTCAAATATAACAGTAGTCACTTCTGTTGAAGGATAAAAAGGGAGTACTTTCTGTATGTCTGATCTTTTACAGGACAACAACACTTGGAGGATATAATCGAGAGCTTTCACAAGAGTTTTGATATTTGTATTTATACCTCTTTGTAAAGAATGGACTCCAAGTTCCCCAAAGACTTAGCACTTTGTGATATTAACCCAAGTTCAACCATTTTATCTTGTAAGTCTCTAATGTGCAGTTTTCCTCCTTCCAATAAAAGTGCTTTCTAAAAACAAGAAACAAGAACAAGGATTTATTAAGTCTGAGAATATCAAATAAAATCTGTGCAGATTTTTAAATCCAGCCAACACACCTTTTTTTGTTCAACGCGGCCGACAACTTACACTCTCTACTAGTACGAAAATAAAGCTTGAAAAAATGTTCTCATTACAATATCTCCACAAATTTGCATTCTCTCTGATTTGAGGCTTGGCCTGTATTTCTTGAAGGCTTAAATTCCAGGTCTTGTGGGAATATAGGCTTAGCCTCAAATCAAGAGGATTCAAATTTCTAGGGTGACTGTAACATCAATTTTTTGTGCTTTGTATTGTTTTGGTAAGGTCTTTGCACAAGTGAGTCTGTTGTCTGCTTAACAGAGGTTGTTCTCTCGTAACGGGAAAAGAGGCATATTGCTATTACCATCCTTGAAACATTATTGAATTAATATTAGGTTAGGCTCAACAGTTGATTTAACTAAGA